AACTGTCCAAAAATGCGCTTCAACGTTACCAGTGCAAGGTTTGCTCGGAAGGCATTTTTGTCACAGTTAGCGTAAGACTTTAAATCATGGGGCACCAGGACTCCTAAATCTTTTTCGACTTGGGATACTACTAGAGAGGAGTTTCCTAAGTTGTAACTGTAGTTTGCAACATGTCGCAGATGGACTACTTTACACTTTGAAGTGTTAAAGGTAAGTCCGTTATCGTCTGCCCAACTTTGAAGTCGAGTCAGATCCTCCTGAAGTGCCTGCATATCGTCTTGGTTGCGTATCTCTCTCCAAAGTTTCACGTCGTCGGCAAAAAGTAATAAGTCTGACGTTACCTGTTGAGGAAGATCATTTATGTAGATCAAGAAGAGAAGAGGCCCTAGTACTGAGCCCTGGGGGACCCCACTAGGACATTCCATAGCCTGAGATAAAGTGAAATTAACCCTAACCTTAAAGTGTCGATTTTTTAGGTATGAAGTAAGCCAATCGATTAGAGGTGGTTTGATACCTAGTCGTTTGAGCTTGTTGATAAGACACAAGTGGTTAACCTTATCAAAAGCTTTTGAGAAATCAAGGTAAATGACATCAACCTTTCCCTTGCGATCGAGGATGCTTGTCCATCTGTCCACCGCAGTCAGCAGGTTGGTTATACAAGAGTAACCCTTCCTGAAACCATGCTGTTGGGGTGAGAAGAAATTTAAGGACAGTAGATAGTCATTTAAACCGTCGCATATCAGGGACTCCATGAGTTTTGAAGGTAATGACAGAAGAGCCACCGGCCGATAACTTGAAGGTTCATTGCGTCGACCACCTTTGAAAATTGGTGTGATGTGAGCCAACTTCCAATTTTCCGGTAATTTGCCTCGGCTAAGCGAGTGTGAAAACATCACGCTAAGCGGCGTTGCCAGGATTGAGGCTGCCTCCCTCAGTATGGCAGGATGAACCATATCCGGGCCAGGAGAAGTGTCTAGTCTTAAGTGCTGCAATTTCCGGAACACCAAGTCAGCGCTTAGGTCCACTTCAGAAAGTCCTGTGGAATTGCAGATGAAACTGTCGTCAGTAAAGTTGATGTCAGCCGGTTGAAATGTTTGAGAGTAATGTGCCGCCAGAAGGTTAGCGGCGTCGCCATCGTTGTTGGTCGGGCCGTTAAGACCTACCAGTTGAGAAACTCCTGTTTTGGCTTGACGAAGAGAGGCTGCATAACGGAATAGGCTTCTAGGGTTAGAGGCGAATTTGTCCATAAGCTTTGTTTGGTACTGAAGCCTGTCTTCTCTTATAGCCTTCGTGCATATGTTCCTGATATGTTTATATTGCCTATACGCTCCATCGTTATTAGTTCGTTTGTATTCCGCCCAACAGTGCCTTTTGCGGCTTAGCAGGCGAAGGGTACGGTTCTTGATTACTGTAGGTGGCTTGCAGCTTTTGGGAACCGTTTGAGGAACTGAATGGTTTGTAGCACATAAGAGCGTGTGCAGTAAGAAGTCCCAATGACCATCCACATCGAGTTGAGGGTGAACATCCCAAACCACCTGTTGTAGATAGTCATGTAGAGCTGGCACATTCAGCCGTTTAAAATTCCAACGCAAATTATTGTTGGGATACCTTAGCTTAGTTTTGATGACAAAACTGAAGGCTATGACGGCATGATCGCTCTTTCCCAGAGGAGCCAGGATTGAGAGGTTGTCGACTAGGAATTCTTCGTTAGTGAATACACAGTCTAAGCGCGATGGTGTCTGACTGTTTCTCCAACGAGTTGCCGACCTCACATTTTCATATAAGCCCAAGTCATCGATGAGGTTGAAGAACCGAGCTTCAATTGAGTTGTCGCCTCCAGTGTACGTGTGTTCCGCGAAGTTGACTCTAGGGAGATTAAAGTCCCCTAGAATCAGGATGTGTGTGAAACCGAGACGGATAGAGCGGGATAGTCCTTCCAGCATACGACTATCGTACTCGATGTCGGCAGTTGGCTTCCTGTAAATGACTCCGACTAGACACCTCGAAGTACTAGACAATCTTACAGAGCACCATATGGATCCCTCAAGATTGTTAAACTCGAGGTTGTGAACTTGGTGCACCTCCAAGCAAGAGCTTATGTATATATATGAGAAGATATCCAGGTTTCAGATATTCCTATCAGATGGGCCTTACTAGCGTTGCTAAGTTCACGTAATTCATCCAGTTTGTTTGGTAGACTCGCGGCGTTCATATATAAGCAGTTTATGCTTTCAATTTGGAACGCATGAGCTTCGTCCTGTTTTTCTGTATGAGCCTTATGTGAATGGACAGGTAGCCCACCTATATGAGGTTCGCCGAGGTGGTAGGCCCTGTCCTTTACACGTTTTTTATCATTTAGACAGTCCACAAGTGGAATGGTCAGCTCCAACTTGCTTTTGTGTTCGGTCCTAGCTTCATATGGCCTATCCGGGTGCATGTGGATTCCAGGTGGCAATCGACGTCTGTTGGCACGAAATGCTTCCAGAACTGCAGCCGCTATGTGAGAAGATGGGAAGGTTATCTTCATTAGACGAGGTCTAGGATCACCGTCCTTCTTGGCTAGTCTCGTCACATGATGAGTCAGTATGTGTTTGAGCCTCAAGGACTGTTTGATGAACTTCCATTCCCTGATGTCAGAATTTGATTGATTAGGGTCTGCATTTTCCGGTATACCTTGCACAATTATGTTTCTTCCGCGGAAAAACTTCTCGCGAGATTCTTTAGGGATGTTCCGTATGATATTGCGCTCAGAGTACGGTATGTCGTTCAATATTCTTACGTTACCATCGGACTTCAGCAAGTGAGTTGCTTGCAAGACGTCCTCTATGTCGGTAGCATTCTTAAGTGTTACTCGGAGAAGCCTCGGGTGATTTAGATGCTTAGAATCCTTTCCTCGAGTGAGCCGGGTGACCGTTAAAGGCTCTGTTCTAGGAAGTTCGAGCTTGTTCAATTCACCTTGTAGCGGTAAATAAATCCCCAAAATAAAAGCACTAAGTTTTCGACATTGGATGCTGACCATATGTTTTAGTGGACTCATCTAGCTGAAGGCGCTCGGTCAGGCATCCGCACCAGATCACGTGTGGTAACGCCGTGCTCAACATCAACCGCAATCGCTAGCCAGATTAGATCAGAGAATTCCGATATATTGGTCATCGCCAAATATACTCTTCCGATCTCCTCGACTCTGTCTTTTGATTTCTCTTGGTGGGTACAAATCATATTAGAAGGTGTTACTGGTAGAAGCGTTGTGAAACACTGAATACCTGTGACATCATCAACCTCAGAGCATCCTGTCGTTTTTGTCCTGCAGACTGAGAGGAAGGTCAGGATTGTCAACGAGGTTCATGATAATGAGAGAATCGTCACGAACTGTTGTTAATTTACCAGATTTCACGATGGGTTCAGGTTTAATAACTTGTTGTTTGAAGGTCGGTGCGCGTTTTTGAGTCTTGGGCTCTTTGTTGACCGGACGAACAGACTTGGGGGTAGACTGTGCGACCAAATCACCAGATATTTTCCGTACAGCAACACTTGGGTTGCTCGGCTTAGGCAGTGATGCCTGGTTCTTTTGGGCTCTCTTAACGTGGGTCGAATCACCTACAGGGTTCTTGGGAACCACTGTTGTGTTCAGGGACCCTGAGCTGGGAGACCCGAGTTTGCTTAGGGAGTCTAGTACCATCGACGTAATGATGGTGCTGAGCCTCGACACGTCATCATTAGTGTTGACGGATGCTCCATCGGTGGTATACCTGTCGACATCCCTATTTTTGTATCAGTCGCACGCTCTTGTTTGTCCACCGGTTTTTTTACTATCGTTATCCAAGTTAACTGACAACTTGTTCCGAAGACCTGTCAGTAGTACAATGATGTTACTCAGCAAGACTACAGCGTCCGTGTTGCACGTGACACACACCCACTTTTGCTCTGACTTGCTGAGTCTGTTGTAAGCAGTTGCTGTCAGATCTGTGCATGCTTCGTGGAATCAACCTTTGCAGTTGTCGCACTGCATGCCAGTTGTAACAGCAAAACGGCATCCCGGACGTTTGCATGAGTTTTTCATGACTGTGTTGAAGCAAACTATGTTATAGATGCTTGCAAAAGCCTAAGACCTTTAAAAAACACTAAAAGGCACACTGAAAACGGACAAAAATGGATAAAACGAGTGATATAAACTGAAACTAGTCTATACGTGAAAAACAAAAAAAACCGAATAGTAAGCTGAGGCAAAACCACAGGTAACTATTAAATATGGTGAAACTAAAAAGAGTAATCTACCGAACGTATAGCTCAGGATAGATTCTATAGAACTGAAATGGTACTTTTGTTGCGTAAGAACACAGCAAAAGTTTGATAAATGCAAATCACGTTAGAACTAAACTTCGTGTTCGAAAAGCGCGCAGACAAGATTCGTCCTATATCATGCATCATCACTATGGCATCGCCTTCGTTACTTGAAGGATCGACGTTATCAGACATGGTGTGGTTGAACTCAATTCAAATCTAAAAATGTCTTGATTTGACCGCTTCTGAAAAACTTCATGGATTGTCGATGTGACGCACCAATTATCTTGCTACAGTTTGACCTTCAAGTACTCACAACCTCCTCAAGTGGACGATACCCCTGAAGCGTTCCGGAGTCTGTTTGTGTACTTATGTTCGTTGCTCAGATTTTGACGTTGATATTGAGCAATTAGATAATAATAAAATAGGCCATCACACGAAAGTCTATCAAAAAACGTGTGTAATCCATATTTAGCGTGCGAACAATACCGATATTTAAGAGGTGAAGCGGATTACGAACCTGCGGATTTGTTCAAAGTGGTAGTCTGCTTGTCTTTGCGACTTTTCAATACTTTATTTATACCCACAGTTTTAGATTCACTTCTCGTACCGTACGTCAATTTTTTATTTTATACGAAGTTAAGGGTTATTCCACTCAGAATTTTCAAAACAAAATAGATGCATATGTCGTCCTTGTGATTTGTACATATGAATCCACCATGGTGGATTCTTTAAAAAGTAAAATTGATGAGGTGGAACTCTTATTGTCCATGTTTTCTGAAGATGAAATTAAGCTAGGAGACAAGAAAAGCTATTTAAATATCAAACGTCATGCAGAATTGAATGTTATTCCTGAAAAGACAGATGTCGATTTCGTAATCAAGGTAAGCTCTGGACTACTTAGTTCACAACCTCAACGAAAATCTCATTGTAAACTCGCACAAAATTCGTATTTTATGATTGTTTATCAAAATCTTCGGGACACATTTTAGCCGTAACTAAAATTTTTGCTCAGTTCCTAAATTATTATGGATTTAATACTTGGTGATACAAACATTCAAATGTTTTCATAGCTGCTTCTCAGATTTAAACCTCATTACACCTACTTTTGTCATAAACATTGTTTAGCGTTATTGTTATTCACAATCAGTGTACTTCACAGACCTGTTCCACGACCTATATTGGGCTGTTTACTCGTTTTTGAGCTACAAAGTCCCCATAAATTTGTGATAACGTATAATAATGGTACTTATATACCAAATGTAGATATGTGCACTAAATTTGAATGCCCTCTCTTTCAATGGAATTTGATACTATATGGGTGTACATATGAATGTAACTAGAGAATACTCTGAAATTACGACCTACTGGTTGGGAACCTGACATTTCAATCATTAACCTACAGCTAGATGCATCAGTGTAACTAAGTATTTTCTTCTTCTTATTACTCAGTATTACTTATTCTTTGGGTGATAGCTCCTATCCACCCTTAAAAAGTCACTGATCCTGTTTGACTGCTTGTACAACCTATATAATGTCTTTCGATTTAGTAATAACGAATACATTCTCAGTCGGGATGTTTGAAATGCACTTCTCTCCATCTAAATGCAAGTTGTTGCTTCAGGACTGGTCTGCGTCAACACCTGAACTAAAGATAGGGAGTGAAGTGGTCGTACGTTTTGACAACTTCACTTATCTTGGAAGTCCGATCAGCCCTAATGGGTTGGTGTCTGACGAAATCTCTGCATGGATTCAAAAAACTCGTTTGGTTTCTGCCAACTTACGTCACCTTTTGCGAGGGCGAGATATTCGTATATCAATTAAGAGACAAGTATACTGTGCGGAAGTTCGTTCTGTTCTACTTTATAGCTGCGAAACATGGCCATTAAAAGTAGAAAATCCTCAGTCTTCAGTAATAAGGATAGTAGGTTGATGAACCTGTGTTAATCCTGACACATTGCTTTCCAGTGAAGGTCCAGCTTTTCCTTGAAAGTATTCACTGATGGGGCTGATACCACTTGTTCGGGTAAGGCGTTCCAATGATTGACTACTCGATGAGAAAAACGGGATCCCACTTTAAGTTTATTAGATCGTGGTTTATGAACCTTCTTGCTATGACCTCGGAGATTATTAGTGCTGGAGGGAGCAAAAAGATAAGACATATTAACACCCAAATCATAATTAAAGATACGAAATGCCAGTATAAGGTCACCTCGTGTCCTACGATACGACAAGGGGAAAAGATTTAGGCGTTTTAAGCGCTCATCGTAAGGGAGACTAGAAAGACCCTTCACTAATTTCGTTCCCACACGCTGGACACGCTCAAGGGAGTTAGTATCCTTTACTAGACACGGGCTAGCTGCTTGGATACAGTACTCTAAATGTGGTCTAACATATATGGGGTATAAAATTCGAAACGTTTCCTCGTCAAAAGATTTGAACGCTCGGCGAAGTGACCATAACGCACGAAAACCTTTGACAGCGGCTGCTTTGCAATGCGCAGTTGTTTTTAAGTCATGACTTAATATTACTCCTAAGTCCTTATGCTCTTGAACGCATGGAAGAGGTTTACCCTCAATAGTGTAACGGTAACTATTACCGTGACCGACGTGCATTAGTACACTCTTCCTAGCATTAATTTCTAAGCCCCACTCTCGAGCCCATCTAACTAAATCGTCTGTCTAAGCTTGAAGATCCACATGATCAGCCGCACTTTTTATTGTTCTCCAGATTTTTACATCATCTGCAAACAATAATGTCGACGACCTAAGTAACAGTGGTAACTCATTAACGTAGAGAAGGAAGAGCAGAGGGCCTAAGATGGTGCCTTGGGGTACACCACTTTTGACCGGCTTCCAATCGGATAGCGTTCCATTGACCCTAACTCTCTGTCTGCGGTCACATAAGAAATTTCCTATCCACTCATGTACAGTACCTATTATTCCGAAGCTCGTGAGCTTCTGCATAAGACCTACGTGTGAAACCTTGTCAAACGCTTTGCTAAAATCTATGAATATCACGTCGACAGACAGACCGTGATCTAGGGCTGCTGTCCAATCCTCCCTCGCAATAAGCAAGTTAGTCAAGCATGAACGCTTGTTACGAAATCCGTGTTGCTCAGGAGCTAACAGATTGTGTAAATCTATGTGGCTTAGCAACCTAACCCGAATTATCTTTTCGAGTAACTTAACGACTATGCTAGTTAGACTGACAGGCCGGTAGTTAGATACTATCTGTCGCTGACCGTCCTTAAATATAGGACTAACTATAGCGTCCTTCCAATCTCTAGGGAGTTGGGCGAGTGAGAGGGACATGTTGAAGAGTGTCGCAAGCGGTTTTGAAATAATGTCCGCAAGAGATGACAGCAACCGTGGATGTAACCCGTCAGGGCCCGGTATCTTACCAGGTTTGAGGTTAGTTATCAACGGAAGGACAGTTTCCTCAGTCACCTGTACGGATTCAATGGTTGGTATCTCGGTGTGAGTGGGACAAGTATTTGTTACAATAAACGTAGAGAAGACTTCGCTAAAATAATCTGAAAAAGTCTCAGCTTTTGCTCGATCTGATTCAGCTAGTAATTCTGAATTTTCGTGTAACAGCAACGGGGGAATACCATCACTACGTTTCATTTGCCGTTTAACATACGAAAACAATCGTTTCGGACAAGTACGGCTATCATATACTAACTGTCGTTCGTAAGTGGTACGGGATTTCGCTATGGTTTTCTTACAGATATTACGGTATTTTTGATACTCACGCTTAAATGGTGCATGACCTGTCAACAAGAATAAGTCCCAGAAATGTTTCCTACGCTTTAACAGCTTCCGGGTTTCCTTATTAATCCATGGAGGGCAATGTGATAGCTTACGTGCTGACCATGGGATAAACGGCGACGTTACGGACTCGAATGTAGCCTTAAACTTATTCCATTCATCTTCGATCAATCCATCCGCGTCGACCGACCAATCGGTCGAGATAGCACGGTTTCTGATTTCCGGAATATTAGCTCGCCAGATATTGGGACGGGGTGGAGCAGATACGAATTGTATACCATGTGTCCTAAACTTAAAGTGAATTACAACGTGATCACTGTTCACTAGTGGAGGAAGGTGCTGGATATCAAAGACATCCTCAGAGTGGTGGGTGAGGGCGAGGTCCAGCAGTGACGGAACATGATGCAAATCAATATGTGTCGGTTTTGTGATACATTGTACAAGTGCACACTGAATAACGGTAGATAAAAGGTCGCTATCGAAACCGCTACCTGGAGCTGTAAGCTCTATCCAGTTGATATGCGGTGCGTTGAAGTCCCCAATGATGAGACAACATTCTGCCATACTCCAAGAACAGATGTGTCTTAGGATAAAGTCGTCAGCCAGACAAGACGGACTACGGTATATTCCCCCTATAGTCACTAACCCATTTCTAGATTTAATCTTACAACATGCAACCTCACATGTGCCACTGATATGAGCCTCCGATATGGTTGATTGTATACGAAAGTGATCCCTAACGTAAAATATTATACCTCCCCCTTGCGACTTGAAACTCTATCACTTCTGATACAGATATAACCAGCAATGAAAGGAGAACAGTCTATATCAACGGTGAACCAAGTTTCTGTAACAACGATTATATCGGGACATAATTCTTGCACCATCAGACTTAGCTCGGACGTTTTATTTCTAAGACTACGAGCGTTCGTGTAGCACACACTTAAGGTGTTTTGGAAATCAATCGTTCTACCCATACAGGCCTCGGAAGCATTGGCTTCCAAGACCTGACTACCCGAAAACCCTTAATGGTAAGGTTATTTTCGCCATTTAATTTGCGAGTCCTCAACTCCGTAAGAGCATTCTTCCACTTGATTCGATCCTCAAGCGGCCAATCTGGTCGAATACGGATATTTGAGGCACGAGTTTTTTGTGCGCTTTTCAATAATATGTCTCTTTCTTCGAAACTCCCGAGAACCAGCTTCAGGATCCTTCTTGGTTGGGTCTCGCCTCCAACCCATTTACCAAGTCGTATTACTTTTGTAATATGTACCCCTGAAACCTCTTCAGGTAGTACATTCCTGACCACAGACTCCACTAACTGTAGGTCATGTGCGTGTCTTTTAGCAGGGTCGTTGTCTTTCGACTCCTCTAGATTCCAAATAATTAAACTAGGGATGGGTTTAGCTTCTTTTGAAACTGTGTTCACAGCTTTCGACCGTGACGTTAGATCCTGTATTTTAACTACTGGTAGCTTACGATTAGTTTTTATTTTAACAGAGTCCTGGGAGTCAAGCGAATGACTCACAACAATGTCAGACGAAGCTTTACTATGAGACTTTGGCGGATTGGTCTGAGAGTCCACCAAGGACTTACCAAGTAAACAGTCATTAGTTTTAGCTATCTTTCCTACTCTTCTGCGTTTTCGCGTCATCCATTTTCCATCAGTCGAAACGTCTACATTAGAACAACTCGGGACAGTAATTGTTTTATCTGGGTCACCGGTTGCTGCTGTAGCAATATGGCCACCAACGTCTAATGACGTGTCACTCACTGATCGTTTCGGGGGAGAACGTTTAACTGTGGGTTGCACAGGTAGATGTCTGGCTTGCGCCGTGATAGCACTTACGACACTAACGCAATCTTCGCCATCCGTACCAATGTTATCAGTACAGCCCTCATCAACCTTCTTATTAGCCAACACCAGGAGACTAATTGCTTCCTGGATAAGCAATGTTTTGCTCGAGCAACAAAAACTACAAAGCCAATGAGAGTTGGGCTTTGAACACCTTTTATATGCAGTGGGGCTTAATCGGGTGCACATCTTATGGAACCACTTATTACACTCATCACATTGCATCCCTTCATCCACGGGAAATAAGCAGTATGGTTGTCCACATTTATGAGTAGACCTAGCCATCTTGAAAATCAACTAGAACGGTGACGAAAACAGGATATGTAGAAGGATTTTCAAACCTTAACTAAATAAACCAAGTAAAAGTCGACCAAGTATGCTTCGATGCAATAAATACACAGAAGCAAAATCGAAAAACTCAATAAAATATCACTTTAACTGGGGTAGATGCAATTAAAGTGTAAACAGTAGTTTTGATGCGTAATTTACGATCAAAACAGTTAATTAACTCAACGAGAAAGAATACCACTGTCCTCGTGAGTTACTAGTATTTAATCACAGATGTCTTAGAATTATTGCTCGCATCTGCTGGGCTTACCGCGTAAGTAATAGTGCGATTAGACACCGGGTATTAGAGAATGATGGTAAGTCAGTTAGTGAAGTTGTGAATCTTCATCGACTGAGATGGTTGAGCCACGTGTTACGTATGCCTGAACACCGATTACCACGATGCGCAATGGTAACTAGTGTTGGGGATGATTGGAAGAAAGTTAGGGGCGGTCAAACCAAAACGTGGTATCAGTGTTTGTAGTCATTAACTTCTGGTATGAGCCATGTTGGTAGATGCAGACTATTTGGTTGGGGTCCACGTGACTATCGTAACCAATGGTTAGAGACTGTGTGTGACATGGCTCAGAATCGATCACAATGTCGTCGGTGTGTACACTCTCTGTCTTCCCTTAAACTATGAGATTAAAATCGCTTCATATCTGTCTTTCTATGAACTAATTCTTTCTTCCTGTACTATGTCCTTATATGCAATCCTTGTTTTATGTATTGCCACCACTGAATTAACTACTTCTATGGATTCTGTGTTCATCTTGTTGTGCTGATGAGGTGTGGCAACTTGGATCGATGCCATATATGGGCCAGGTCCTACGTTGTAACTGACTGACTAACATATACTTCATATTCAAAACATGATTCTTCTGTTTAAACTTGGATTGTGCATTAGAATTTCGTAAAGAAACAGTCCAGTTTGAAATTCGTGTATTTTACTGAACCTACTAATTTGAATTTAAAGTAATATATTCACTTATTTGTTCCACACTCCCATCTATATCAGCTTAAAAAGAAAGTAGAATTATCAGTTGTCCTACCCGATGGTTACCCTTCATGGAATACACATCATCCTGTTAAGCCACTAATTACTCTACGTTTGTTATCCGATAATTCAATTCTTGGCATGAATATACGTGAGTTATCCTCACATTTTTATCATTGGTTTGATAAAATCGCAATACTGGTGAACCAATCTTACTAGCATGCATAGACTGGCTTCAAAATGAGTTATTTAATAAATTACTAGTAACTAATGAAAGTATAACATCTCTCTCGACCAATTCAATTTTGAGTAACAATGAGAAAATTGTTTGTTTATGGATTATTAGCCATCACATTCGAAGTCCAATAAAAAGACGTCTGATTTTGGAATGGTCAAAAGAATTAGAACTAACCGGCTGTTGTATGCCTGGGCGACCGGGCTTAATAATTGTAGAGGGTGAAGAAACCAAGGTTAGTGATTCATCATGTCCTTCTTGTTAAATTATTTGTAAATACGTATGTTAATTAATAGAACGGTTCTCTCTTATAGTATATTTATTTATTTATTTTAACATAAACATTGGTAAAAGGAGGCACCAAATAGATACGTGCTACGAAAACCATTAGATTTATGTGAGAGCTGGGATGCTACCCTGGTGCTCAAGCCAAAGAGGGTGGCTTTCTTAGGAGTTCACACCCCGAGCCTCTGACCTAAAGGTCCAATCCACAAGGCAATGGAGCCACGTCAGGAGATGCAGTCCCATGGTGGCCGGCGACCAACAGTTGGTTCATACGCCATTTGTTTCCGTAGGATCCTGCAGCCCATGTACACACTGGTTTGAAATCAGGGTTTTCCAACTCCCTTAGGTGGATCTTCTGTATCCACCGACCAGGTTAGAGCGCCGGACATTCGATTTTCGTCCTCTCGATTTCGCAAATAACACCTGTCGCGAGAAGGCAATGAGTAGAACTTCTCTGTCAGTGGCTGTATCCACGTAGCTACTTGAGAGCATTTCTCCTATAGTAGACTGTTTCTGATAGCATCCGGTCAACGGACATTGAGTATTTTGCAAAGATAATTGTTTATAAATACTTGTACCGTCTTGATGACGGTTGTAGTAGTTCTCCATCTTTCAGCTCCATACAGTAGAACTGTCTTGACGTTCGTATTGAAGATTCTCACGTTGATATTGGTTGACAGTTGTTTTGAGTTCCATATGTTGTTCAAATATAAGAATGCTTCCCTTACCTTGTAAGTCCTTGCATTTACATCTGCATCAGATCCTCCTTGTTTATCAATGAAGCGGTCCAGTCAAATGGAACTTTTCACCTCTTCCAGAGCTTCTCCACTGAGTGTGATTAAGTTGGTGCTACCTGTCGCATTTTGTGATTTTCGTTCTTCACTTTTAAATATTAAGGCCTACTGCTACAGAGATGCTTCTGCTGCACTGGTTGTCCTCACCTTCATTTTTCGGTGTGCATAGGATAAAAGAACTGGATCGGCTGCTAGGTCCAAATCGTCTAGTTTCATGCAAGCTATCCATCACATGCCATGCTTCACCTGAGATGTGGAGGTCTCCATAATTCAGCCGACCACCAGAAGAACTAGAAAGGAGGAGAGTAAGCGGTTTTGTTTGACCTCGGTCCTTACGTGGAATGAGTCTGTCAGCTGACCTTCATACATGACTTTGCAGTGTAGTCCTTCGTATGAATTCCGGATGATGTTGACGTTTTCTCTCGGGTACACTGTAATTTATTTATTTATTTGAACACATAAATATTGGTACATGAGAGCGCCAATATATATGCGCCACACAAAACAATGGAAATTTAAAGAGAAGGAAAAAGACAAAAGGTAAGGAGCGTAGAAAAAGAACAATAACGAAGAGATTGGTGTAAGGTAGTGTAATAATAATAATAATAATAATAATAATAATAATAATAATAATAATAATAATAATAATAATAATAATGGGGAAACGGAAAGGTACAATCAGAAGAAACCCTTCAGTTACGGAAGATACAACCACTTTTTACGAAGAAAGTAAAAGAAGGTTACAGCAGGATCGCCACTGGCTTCTATTCTGAGCCATATCTGATAACGTCCCTAGCCACTGTGTAGCACCATCTCTCGAACCCCAACCAGGGAGTCGTGAAGGACCAACACAAGCCAGTCCTTTGCAGATTTATTTCATGCCACGACACTATGTCATAGTCAAGGAAGTTGATGTGTGGTGGCGGATTCCATTTAATGAATTGTTCAACAATAATCCTTAGTGTCGCGATTCGGTCTATGCGCAACCGATGCTTCTAGAATCCAGTTTGTTGGTTTCGAAGTTGATTATCTACTGAATCCTTCATCTCGTTCAACAACACTGTTTGTAACCCTGGAATCTAAATCATAGATGATAACAGTTCATGATCAAGAGCTTAACCATAGTTCCTAATCCTATAACCTAAACTTAACCACTAACATGCACTTCCTGTCTGAACTCGTAATACTAAACTTTTCTATCCTATTGTGAGAATTCACATGAAAAGTTTCATTATTTACGCCGAAATGCCTTGTCTTATAATTTCATCACATTTTTATTATAATATGTTTCATGACTAAACACTTTTCTAATTGGATCAAAATAGTTGCCTATGTTGTCCATATACTTTAGCTCTGCCACTCACTGCTTTGACCATTAATCTATTGGACATGTCCTAAAAACAAGATTTTGGTCGCGGTATATATATATATATATATATATATGCTTTTACAGCGATAAATCAAACATAGCAACGAAAATAATTCGTTTAAAAAGCAGTATGATTTTATGAACTATTTGGTGTCGGAGTCCTCGTTATACACATAGAAAAACCGAAATTATGTGTGCTGAAAGCACCTCTCCAACCTGTTTTATTACCATTGACTGAACATCGAAATGTTTTTAATTATTTTGTTGATTTAAAGTAAACTACCATGCAATCTTTGCACTTACCATATTGTCAAACTCAAATTAATCTATTTGTGTTTCTATACAATTTTAAAACATTTTATTTTTAAGATTGATTGTACCGCATTAGTCAATTCAATCCCGTTACTACTAGTCTCTATCTGATTACTATGAAATTACTGATTAATTTTCGACTCAACTTTTAAATAGAAATTACAATTATATATATCTATTTATTTGTATTGCTGTTTTATCAGCGGTAATTATAAAAATACATGCATGCGACTATACAATTGTGGTTACATCTCAGTCCTACATGAGGTCGGTCACGGCCCGGATAGCCTAGTGGTACCGTCTCTGACTGTGAAGCTGGGTGACACGGGATCGAATCCGTCAGGAAGCACCAGTTCCCTCAAGATTACAGGTACACCTTGCTGACGAGTGCCAAGTAGCACGAAACCCGGGTCCAGGTTTTCCTGTTGACTACCTCCAACCACCATCTAATCTTAACATGGTGCACTCAATGTTGAGTCACCTAGACTAGTGACCACGTTGTAACTTGGTCGATAGCATTCGATCTGCACTAGGAAGGACTTGACACACATGACATTGGTCATCACCCAGTGATCAATCAATTGTGAGAGTTCTGTAGTATTTGAACAGTTAATTTTTTTGGAAGATGGTTGTCATTCACTGTGTCACTTATTATGATATAGGTCGTTCCTTGATATATTTGGTACGGCTAAATATTTTCTGAGTCAAAAATAATTAAAGTACTAATTATTTCCAACTATCAACTGATCTATTGCGTTTGAATGTATAGTATTTATAAAGAGAATTATCTTTTCATCTAAAGAGCTTACAGTCTTTTTTTCATATAATGTAAACTAGCATTTAAGTGATATTGTTTTATATATTTATCGTATATAATTTTATTAGGCTGATGAATATTGGAGAAGACTACGAAATTTACAATGGAAACATATACAACTTCGAGAAAAAGAAATACTTGGTATAGGGTTATATAGAATTCGTCGTTTTCAAGATGGATTTCATGAACTTACATTATCTCAACAAAGTTGGTTTTCATGGCTTCATGAACATGGTGTTACATCAGAAGAGTATAGACATGTTTTCGGAATTCCTGGTCGATTGCCTCAAAATGAACAACAATAGTAATGAATCAGGAATTTGGTGATTAAATCATTTGGAATTCAGTCAATAGGTTGTAGGTTCGAACAAGGCCCCACCCATTTCAAATTCAAGATTCCATTAGTACACAAATAATGCGACTCAAATCCAACTACACAAACTTGTAATTGGTCAATGAACTAGAAATAAATAGAACGTGTAACCTGGTCAGTCAGTTGAATTTGTTACCTGAAAATAACGGAACAAACCTTTGTATTGTATAGTGACTTGCATATGGCCTTCAACATTTACAGAACGTAAAATGTTAATGTAATAATACTATTTTTGATATATAAGCTGCCCTTTCAACTTGTAACTTACTGATGACCTATTCATTTTGTACTACTGGTGCACAGGATCAAATGAAATGTAGGCAATTAGTTAAGCCTTTCATACCATCCGAACTTTACCTTTGACCGAATTCTATCATCAGTGTAGGGTTGTGGAGATTGTTGTGCTTTTATTGATATCATGAATCGATCAATGTCAGATTGCCATTAAAAACCTGGAAGCACTGGATGGCCGTCTCATCCTAGCATGAAGCTCCTCAGCAATGCATAACTTCATTCGATCCACGATATTGCGCAACTGTATTCAATTGTCTTTAGTGGGTAACTACCTCACACCCGACAGAGTTAAACTCCCAGAATTACCTATTGAAGCTAGTCACTAATGGGCACCTAATAATTATCAGTATAGGGTTGTGGAGGTTGCTGAGTTTTAGTCGAGATCGTGAAATGGATTCTACAAGTCATATCAGTAATAAGTTCACCATCTCAAGTAATTTGGGATAGTGTTTGTTAATGAAGTTTCACTTTCTAAAAGTGAGTTGATAAGCATGTAAACTGTCAGTAGTTTTATGTTGTTTCTCATCCAGTCAACTTAATATCCGACATTCTGTACCGTAAAGTCGAGTTGTACGGGCAAACTCAGCGTGGTTTGATTTACAGTAAAAAAGAACTAAATGGTTAGAACATGACTTTGACATAGTTTTCGCCTGATAAAATAAAAGCGTTTGACGATGTACTTCGTGCTTTTGCACACTTGGAAATATTCCCTTAACTATATCTCAGCTTTTATTTTCTGGTAAATGCTTTTTTCAGAAATAACAAATAATATCGTTTCCATATGGCATAGATGTTACTGATACTTACTTAGGCCTGTAACCCCACCAGGATTCTCCATCTAAATCTGTCCTAACAATCCTTTCCAATTGTTCCCAGTTGCTATTCACTTTTTTATGTCTGCTCCCAATTCTTGGCGCAGTGTGTTCTTTGGCCGTCCTCTTTTCCATTTCCTTTCAGGATTCCAAGTTGGCGATTGCCTCGTGATGAAGTTTGGTGATTTGCATAATATGTGTCCTATCCACCTTCATCGTCTTTCCCCGATTTCCTCTTCAGCTGAAAGCTGATCTGTTCTCTCTTATAGTAGACTGTTTCTGATGGTATCCGGTCAACGGACATTGAGTATTTTGCAAAGATAATTGTTTATAAATACTTGTACCGTCTTGATGACGGTTGTAGTAGTTCTACATGTTTCAGCTCCATACAGTAGAACTGTCTTGACGTTCGTATTGAAAATTCTGATTTTGACAGTGGTTGATAGTTGTTTTGAGTTCCATCTGTTCTTCGACTGTAGGAATACTGGCTTTACTTTGCCGATCCTTACCTTTGCGCCTGCATCGGATCCTCCTTGTTCGTCGATTATGCTGGCCAGGTACGTGAAAGTTTCCACTTCTTCCAGAGTTTCCACATGAAGTGTGATTGGGTTGATGCTCTCTGTGTTGTATTTGAAAATGTTGCTTCTCCCCTTGTGTACTTTGGAGCCTACTGCTGTAGAGGCATCTGTTAGACTGATTGTGTTGACCTGCATTTGCTGATGTACATAGGATAGAGGGACTAGTTGATCTACGAAGTCGGAATCATCTAGTTTCATGCAAGCTATCCATTGCATCCCATGCTTCACCTGAGATATAAAGGTTTCCATAGTTCAGCCGACCACCAGAAGAACTAGAAAGGAGGAGAGTAAGCGGTTTTGTTTGACCTCGGTCCTCACTTGGAATGAGTCTGTCAGCTGACCTTCATACATGACTTTGCAGTGTAGTCCTTCGTATGAATTCCGGATGATGTTGACGTTTTCTCTCGGGTACACTGTAATTTATTTATTTATTTGAACACATAAATATTGGTATATGAGAGCGCCAATATATATGCGCCACACAAAACAATGGAAATTTAAAGAGAAGGAAAAAGACAAAAGGTAAGGAGCGTAGAAAAAGAACAATAACGAAGAGATTGGTGTAAGGTAGTGTAATAATAATAATAATAATAATAATAATAATAATAATAATAATAATAATAATAATAATAATAATGGGGAAACGGAAAGGTACAATCAGAAGAAACCCTTCAGTTACGGAAGATACAACCACTTTTTACGAAGAAAGTAAAAGAAGGTTACAGCAGGATCGCCACTGGCTTCTATTCTGAGCCATATCTGATAACGTCCCTAGCCACTGTGTAGCACCATCTCTCGAACCCCAACCAGGGAGTCGTGAAGGACCAACACAAGCCAGTCCTTTGCAGATTTATTTCATGCCACGACACTATGTCATAGTCAAGGAAGTTGATGTGTGGTGGCGGATTCCATTTAATGAATTGTTCAACAATAATCCTTAGTGTCGCGATTCGGTCTATGCGCAACCGATGCTTCTAGAATCCAGTTTGTTGGTTTCGAAGTTGATTATCTACTGAATCCTTCATCAGGTTCAGCAACAGTCTAAAAATTTTCCTGGTAGTGACGGTAGTGTCATGCCTCTGTGGTTCTCACACTTACTGATATCTCCTTTCTTTTCTATACTGATGAGATATCCTTCTTTCCAGTCCATCGACAATCGTTTCTCCTCCGAAATCTTGTTTAGAACGTGGAACATGTCTGTAGTTGCTTTATGTTTCTTTTCATTACGTCTGCTGGTATATTGTCGGTCCTGCTGCTGTTCCTCTCTTGAATTGTTTGATGGTCACTTTGATTTATTGGTAGAGTGACTACTGTAGGGAGGTCTGTGCGCTCTGCCTCGAATTCTGTTAGGTTCAATGGAGCTGGCCTATTCGAGAGTCCGTTAAATTGTTCTACTCATCTGTCCTTGAATCTCAGTGATTGGGTTCCCTCTTCGTCTTTGATTAGTCGCTCTGATTTACTATATTTCTCTGATAATCTTTTCGCTGTATTATATAGTTGTCTCATATTTCTTTCTATTGCAACTGTCTCCGCTGTCATTACTACGTCTTACACGTATTTCTGCTTGTCGTCTCTAATGCTCCTCTTTACTTGCTTGTTTGCTTCTATGTATTCAGCTTTTGCCTTGACTTTCTCTGTTCTTGTTCGGCCGTTGTTTATTGATGTCTTCCTGTTCTTCCTTTCTTGAGTCTTGTGCAGGGTTTCCATAGATGATGATGCTTCTTGCTGCCCAGAACCTCCTGACACGTTGGAGTTAGTGCTTCATTGATCGTTTTCCAGTTGTCCTCTATAGTAGTTTCCTCTTGAAGTAGATCTTGTGAGACATGGAATCTGTTGCTAAAAGCTATCTTGAATTTGCTGAGCTTGTCAATATCTCGAAGGAAGGCTGTGTTGAACCTTTGTACTGTTGTCTATCCAGTTGTCTAATGCTTCTTCAGCCTCAGATTAATCTTGGCAACCACCAGGTGGTGATATGAAGCTAGTCAGCTCCGCACCTGGTTCTCAGTTCTTCAATTGACTTTCTGAACATTTTATTGGTACAATTATGATATATCTGGTTCTTGGTGGTGTGGTCCGGTGAGATCCATATAGCTTTGTGTGGGAATATTATGCCGCCTATAACCATTTTGTTGGATGCACATAAATTTGCAAACCTGTCACCATTCACGTTCCTTTCTCCCAATCAGTCCATGTCGTCAAATGATAACTTCATACCCGTTGTTGTCCATTCCGACTTTTGAGTTTAAGTCCCTCAAAATGATTGTCAGGTCTTTTTCTGAACAATTCTCTATGATCGATTGTAGCCTCACATTAAACTGATCTTCATCGTCGTCGTTATCATTACTGGGTGTATAGCGCTGAATAACAATGATTGTGATTCCCTCCTTCATTGTTTTGAAAGATGCTTTGATAATTCTAGATCCATGATATTCCCATTCCATAAGTGGATTGCATGCTTATTTGGACAGCATCATAGCAACTCTCAGTGTGTGGAGCATTTTTTTCTTCGTGACAGCAGCATATCTCCCGTATATAACTTTCACTTTTCAGATAGGGTCCAATGGGTTACGAGGACCGCCGAGTTGTATCTCCTCATTTCCATTGCTATTTAACTGGTCCTTCCAGTCTTCCGTATTGTCCAGACGTTCCATGTACCTATAAAAATTGTTGCTCTTGTTGTTAGAAGGGGTATCAGAGTCGTGAATTCCGAATTTCGGCTTTCACCATGTGGCGGGGGGCAGAGCTTACATTGGTTATTCTGGTTCGCGTTTTGTTTTAGCAAGATTGTTTTCTATGGGATGGGGTTACTGACTCAATGCCAAATCATCCTTCTTTACACGAACTCGAGACCGGTAGTAACCCTAGAAGAACTACAAGTGGAGTTAGATGTTACTGATGCACATGTGTTATACTAGATTTCATATGAAATATATCGGGTTGGATATTTTAGCTATTGAACTTAGACAGTAGAATAACTCTACAGCTAGGTCGGACGTTTTTGAGCTGAATGGTTTAATAGTGAAGGCTTCAAAGTGATAAATTTTTCTCAGTGATTTACTTACTAATAAATTTGACACTGTAAAAAAGTGTGGCTGAAGCTGAATAGTACAAAATGGCCATGCTCTAATTTAATTTCTAAATGATATCGGGATGTTGTTGCCCAAGGAAAGAATGTTTAACAGTTCAACATTCTTTGGTCTTCAATATTAAGGACCACGCTTTGACTGCGGATTCTCCATAAAACATTATACAATCTGCAGTTTCATATGAATTTTCTTTGGTCCGTGAATTTCTGTACTTTGTATTTCAGATATTTGCATTACTGATTTCACACGTACTCGTGAATTTTTTAAGGAATCGGGCTTCTAATAAGTAGGTTAAAGGTACAAACCTCGCTACATATACATCTGTTTTTGCGAGTTTGAAACGACACTGACCAAAAACTATACCTGGGTGAGTATTCGAGGCTGGGGTATTTATCAAATGGCAGAAATAC